AATTAAAACACCAGTATTTTGCTAACATGTATTGGTGTGGTTTTGCTGAGGGAAGACCAGATTTCAGAAAATAGGTTTCTCTAAAAATCAAGCATAAAACTGAGTCTGACTAGAACTGAAATCTGAGATCATTGTAGAAAATTAGCAGGAGTAAAACTGAAAGTTCACTCCGCAACACTGGTACCCGTCTCATTACACCCGTTAGACAGTGACTCCTCGTCGTCAAGCACTTGAGAGATCCTTAACCGTGCCTAAAATACTAACTTCATTAATGCCACAAAGTTTCATCTTTTATAAAATAAGCAATTCACATTCTTCCGTCTACGCCTGTGGCAGCAAAGATTTAGGACTGAGTTTTAGATTGAAATTTTAGTGGCATGTAGTTTCTATTTATAGCCTTTTTAGTTCGAAAACTTGAAAGCTTTCAACTCATCCTTACTAAGCTCCCTTAAAAGTAAAACCAAAAAGTTTTTGGAAATAACTAGTTTTGCAAAATGAATTTGAACAACTTTCCACTCAATAATAAAAATTCTTACCGCATTCCGCCTTGCATTACTCATCTTTTTCAACCTCAAAGCAATGATTCTTGCAAATAACATTTCCTCGTCATCAAACCAGCTTGACACTAGGGAAGACGAGCAGCCCAAACAAGAAGGTGTTATGCTTGTTTCGGCATCTATTTGCCCCGTCTTAAACGATTTCAGTCTTCTTATTCGTTTGGTGCACTTCAATCGGAACGTATTACTGCGTGCCCTCAGACGATAGTAAGTCCGCAACGTTTTAAATGTTGGTGGGCGGAACCGATGTCTTTTCCGCCTGACCTTCCCAGGAAGTTCTTCCATTTCATTCCCAAGGCAAGCCTTGGTCGTGCTTGAAACTGTGGAGTTCCCTGAAGAAGCCAGCCCGACCGCAAAAGGATTCTCGCTGGCTTCAACCCGAGAATAGTCTGGGTTTAGTACTGCAAGGGCGTTTTTCTTCATCTGCTCAAGAATCTCGACAACGTTCGTACATGTAGACAGGTCGTCAACTAGAAGAATTTCTAGTATATTAAGTTACTAACAATAACAACACGAACGAAATGGAGAAAGTAGGGGATAAAGCTGCAATATAAAGCACCTACAAAAATATTACTTTTGGGGTTATCTCCAGCGGCTACAGCTGCTTTCGCAGACGCCTCTGCGGCTGCAAGCACGCTCTGCATAGTTGACATCGACGGTTTTACATCATCAAGGAGCTCAGAGTCACAGGATTCTAATTCTAAAATTTAAAAAGTAAACATTTTTATGAACTTGGCCAAACAACGATTAGAATAGAAAATTCAACAAAAACTTGCTTTCAGCTTGATCTGCGGAACTAGTGAATAAATTTTTTGCCAAGTCCAACAGTGTGCTATTGCTAATAGAATAGGCATCAGCAACTGAATAAGCACCATCACTGCACACGTTTTCCTGATACTCACGCGCAGTCGTTGAACTACAAGACATATTCAATCTGGTTTTGAAAAAGGAAGAACGTTGGCAAGAAACCAATAAAATAGACGAAGAAAACTTCAAATAGAAGTGCAAGAAGATGCATATCAGAAGCTTTCTAAAAACATAAACTGATATCGTCTTGAACTTACAGGGAACCCTGAAGATACGGATCGAGCCATTTCAGCAAATGAAAATGACTCCAACGATGAGGTTGAGTAAAACCTTGGGCAATTGCAATCTTCAGCTCCTTTCGATACCGGTCTCTTAGCTGCAGCCAACGTTTTTTGGCGAATTCGGCTACAAAATAACTGTATTGAAATTATATTTGAAGTTTGAAGTCTTGTTTCCTTTTGCTTTAAATTGAAAATAAAAGACTAAAATTAGGTGTATTATCGGCAGTGAATTACAAGAACGCCATCAATGACAAAATCTTAGAGAATTAAAGATGGAGATTGTCAGAAAGGAAGGGCATACTTCAGAATTGACTTGTGCAGGTGATGTAGAAAGAAAGGTTAAAATAAAGAACTAATGAATAACTGAAAAAAAAAGCTTCCCCTCCTCTAGCTACTAATCGTTCTTGTTTCAAATCAGAGCTTCAAAATAAGAAAGATTCTCCCGTTTCTCGCCACTATTATATACAAGTTTCAAATCTACTTGAAAGGGATAACTGAAGATTTCGCCTCTATTTGAGTTTCAAAACTTCCGTATCACCTATTTCACAATCTTTAATGAAATTCAAATAACCAAATTTCTGTCAAACATTTTTTTGAGAATATAATGGTGAAAAAATGCAACCCAAACAAAGTAGGAAAGGAAAGTTTTAAAAAAAAGATAAAAAAGGTAAAAAGAAAAGTAAACTCACTTCCTTCTGTAAAATGAGTAAATAATTAAATAAACTTTTAGCATACATAAAGAAAAAATAAAAATTCGAATAAGCAGACTGCGATACGAAAGACCTCAAGTAAGACAGTGCCGAAATTTTCTACCTAGTCTGTACTGTCACAACAGAATTGTTCGACCTAGGGCCGTTTACTTTATGAAGTAACCCAGAAAGAAGCAATTAAAAACATACGAGTAACTTGTCGCCCAATCTTCTTCGCTACTTCTTCCCAAAGAACATTTCGGTCAACACTCTCAAAGGCACGTCGATTATTGATGTATAGTGGAGGAAAAAGGCGAACTGTCTTAATAAGAAGTTCATTAAATGACTCCTGACCCGGAGGATTCAAGTTGTTGGACATTTGTCTGAAGTAAAAATTAGACTACATAAAAGAACAAATACAAAATCTACGAAAAAACGTGATAGGTGAAGAAAATTCAAACTTGACTGCAGAAGAAAAACAAATATAGAATGCACTTTGATAAAACTTCTCCTAATGTATGCATATCATATAAGGAAATAAACAGTTATTACAGCAAAAAAATTTTATTCGTAAAGACACCACTATCGGAACCTGTAAAATCCGCATGTGATTCCATTCAAAAATCATTCTCTACAAAAATTTGAATCCTCAAAAAATAGCAATAAACATTTCCGTTTTCTCTTTTCTCCTCGATCTCTAATGCACATGTTCTTTAAAAGAACTACTTGCTTCAATTAACCTATCGCCCCCTTCATCAATCCTCCTACCTTAAAGCTAACAACACCAAATTATACAAAGTATTCAAATACAAAGTGGTAACGTATAATACATGTTTACTCAATTTTCATAGTGATCCAACGCAGTCATACACTATTAGCTCATACGATCAGTCTAAAGTTCAGAAATATATAGATAAAACCACTCTTTTTCAAACAAACCTTAACTTCTCAACATTATCAAACACTTCCTCTAACTACCTCCAGCTGAACTGTACCAGCAAAACCCTTCATCTTTCTACCAATTTAACATGACCTTCCACATGGACTTCAAAAAAATGACTAAATTCAAAACCAAAATCTCCTTTGAAAACCGAAAACATTGCAACTGGGCAAATTCTCTATAAAAAAATCAAAAAACTTCATTCGTCGCGTTCAAATATCATATCTTACTGTTTCAACTGTTCTCAAGAAACCATATCTACACTTTAATCTGCTCATGACTTTCAAATAACTTATGCTCTAATACAACAAATCTAAAAAAACACTTTTTATAAGAATAACCAAAGTAGACCACTAACATCGAAATAAGAAGAAATAAAAAAAGTAAATAAACAAATAAATAAAAGCGTTTCTACTGATGTACAACAAAAGTTCTACCCTCCCATAAACTGCTTGAAAGACTTTTATAAAATTTGACCCTACTCAACTGCTTCTACGATGAATGTTATCGGTGAAGGTGAACGCCAGTAATTACAAACCTTTCCACTTTAAATTATAGTTACGAGAAACAGTTTATCAAAAAGAACATTAGAACATTGTGAATTTTCAGAACAGAAATTAACAAAATAAGAAAGACAGAGGTATCGCAAAAAATGAACGGATTTTCGAAAGAAAACTAGTTGTTCAAAAAAAAAAAAAAAAAAAAAAA